GCTCATAGTGTCTTACATTGTCAACTGTCTCCATGTTTGCCATTCATAAGCCAGACTCATTTGAGAAGCTGATGTGGGGCTTATCTTACAGTACTTCACTTTTCCTGATATCCCAGATCCTTTCAGCAACTAATACGTCTTCAGTGCTCTACCATCTTGATAGGTTATCTTTCCTACTCTGTGAGCAAAGATGAAATGACATAATGCCTGGTCCGCCAGCATAGCCTGGTAAAGTTAACCTTTACCAAACCCAAAAGCCTGGCTGTATGTAGACTTGTAGTTATGGTAGGCACTTGCTTCTCTGTTGGAGATTACAAGCCTTCTAGGCAGAAGGTTAATTGGTAGCAGAGAAGATGAAATGCCATTTTCTTCCATATCAGCATGATGGGATGATACCAGTACCAGAACACAGACCTCTGTGCTGTTACTGAGAGCTTTGCAGGTGATAAAGGAAGGTTAAGCTAGCAAGAAGTCTTGATGCAGGTGGGCCAGGTGTCCTATCATAGTAGTATTTGTCAATGGAATTGATTAAAGTTACTTTAAACAGCTTTGATGCAGACCAACTGAAAGTTTATCTGTGATTATGGGATCTTGTATATGTATGTGTCACCAAACTAAGCTGTCCTTTTTTTTTCTTAAATGTGATATCATATCTCAAAGTTTAAATAACTGTAAATTGTAAGGATATAAGTAAGAGCTGAGGCTAACTAAATGAACAGGAAAACCTGCAAAAGACAAAATGTTTAGTTAAATGTTTCAGACAAGATTTAGGTTGCCTTGCTGTGATTGACCTGGCTGATACTAATGGATCCACATATACTCAGATGCACTACTCATCTACTCTGCAAAAGGCTAGAAATAAAAAGTTCCTGTTAGGTACTGAATGTTTGCTGTAATATGAATTTCACCCAGAATTAATTATAGGTCAAGTGCTAGTGGTACCAGGAAGGCAGTTAAAGGAATACTTGTATAGAAGCATGTGTTGAATCAGAAGCTTTTATACTGCACTTTTAGAGAAATCTGATGTGTCTGTTCAATCCAAAAATGATTAACTGTCTTACTCTGGAATTGAAATGTTACTTATGTAATTTGAAAACAATTATATGCTCTTACATTACTTGGCTGATACAAATATTGTGCAACTAATTATTTATCTTCTTCTGCTTAGTTGTTGTAATAACATCAGTTTTCCGTCATGCTTGTTACCAGGGAATTTTCATGATAATAGTTTTGTTTCATTTAATACAGAAATTTCATGTTTCATGTGATCGTTAAGTGCAGAGCAACAGGAAAAACTACTATCAGATGTGCGTAGTTCTGTAAAGACTAGTTCTTAAACACAGGTTTTAGGAACTATAGATTCCTAGTTATCAGGTCTGCTACCAGCTTTTCATGTGCCATCGTACCTAATGATCCCTTCTTTCTGATTACTACTGTAAGGACAAGAGTTGTGTGTTAATTACAGCGACATACAAGAGTGGTACGTTACTTCCTGAACGAATTTTCAGTTACAACTGAAGTCTCAGTTTTGACAACTCTGGAGTTTCCCTGCAGAGCTGAGACTTGAAAGGAGGACAGTGTCTTAACAGCCAGAGTTTTGGAATCTGTTGGGAAAGCACTGGACAAATTTAGAGGTTAGGGCCAAGCCCAAAATAAAATACTGGAAATGCCTTCCTTTGCAACAGTCATCTCTCTTTGCGTTTTTAGTATGTATGTTTTAAATTAGGAGTACAGAGTGGTACTTTTAAGAAAACTTGGGTTAAAAATACAGTCACAATACAGTTGTAAAACCCCCAATCTTTCCTGGATCCATCTGTGACTGACAGGTGACTTCTCAGCCAGCTGAGTGTTCTAAGTGCCTCCAATCTGATAGCAGATGGTGCAATCTGTGAAGGCCACTTGGGTGTTCAACAAAGCTACTGTTGTTAATTGAATGAATGTGAAAGCTCTTTTGCAAAACAATGTCCTCTGAGTAATAGAAATTTAGTGCACGTACTCCGTTGAAATATGTGCCATATTTAGCTCTGTAGAAAGAGGAGCATCTGTATAATATAACCGGCCCTTTTAATTCTGTGGCTGTGCCTGTGTGGATAGAGTTGTCTGCCATGACTCGTCAAGCCTGGGAGCTGTCAGAACTGATCCCCTGCCTCCCTCAGGCTCCTGAGACTCTGCTGATGCTTCATCTCTGTGGGTTGATGTCTTTTTTTTTGCTGTACGGTGTACTGTAGCCAGGAGAGGGCAGAAGTACCTAACGCTGTGCATACCCACGAGTCAGTCGTAACGCTACTCACAGCGTAAGATGGTGCTGGTAGCAGCATCTTAGTTCAGCTCTATTGGAGAGCTTGCAGCATGTAGCTAGGTTAAGTACGGTGGTGTATGCTCTTGGTGGAAAAGTAACTGAATTAATCTTTAATTTTCACCTGTGCCTGTGGTAAGGAATCATAGTAACTATTAGTACTAAATTAATTCTTTTTTGTTTTGTGTTATTTTCTACTTACATGTTTAAAGACTAGCGTATCCTCATTACAGTAAGGCAGGGAAAACACCCCTGGCTTTCCTGAGTCGCTTAGTTGTGCATAACTGCTTTGCAGGGTGCTGGGATGTTGACCTAAAGCTACAGATGAGATGCTGTCTTGCCTCCCTTCTGACTGGTTTCCTGTTTGCACCTTTGCAGCGTCATCTTTCTCAGCAAGGGGGAAGCATTCTGCTAATAGTTCATTATAGTTTATTGTTTCTCCCTGGCATTGTACTGAATAAATAATAGCCACTGATTAGCAAACGCTCACTTAGAATGCTAATGAATATTTGAGAGAGAGAACTAGCTCATAAAAAGGAAAAGATTTCAAACTAATAGGATGGGATTACAGACAATTACTTATGGTTTGATGATTGCATGGTGGATTTAGAGTTTTGCTCTAATCTGTAGCTCTGGATTCTATTCTGACTTTTCCATCAACTCAGAATGTGTGCTTGCACAAGTCATTTAGTTGTTTTTAATCTTCATTATGCTACACATGAGATTTTACAGTGCTGGCCTCGGTTATTGAATAATCTAGTGTCTACCGTGGAATGTTTTGCCATAAGAAGTTGTCGAACCTAAACCAGCAAGATTTTAAAAGGATTAGGACAGTTGTATGGGAAGCAGAAGCACCAAGAGATGACATAGTTGCTGATAAAATAAGAAAATTTTGTTAAATTTGTTTTAAGGTTTAAGCCCATCTCTGGCCGTAGGGAACTGGAAGAATTGTACATGGAGAAGGAGCAACCCTGCATCTGACATAGTAATTGACATTCAGTGATCCTTAGCTGTTGTAAATGACACTGCTTTTACTCTATACCGAATAATGTATGCAAATGCTTTTATTTCTCCTTCTGAATCTTGTAATTTAGTAAATGATCTATGCAGTGAAATTTTTTTTTTTTTTTCCCTGATATTGTCAACATGTGCAAGATGGAGAGTAATGGTGGTGGAGCTGTTTGATTTTTTTCTTTCTGGAAAAACAAGCTGGCTTATTTATGTGTCAGCAGTGTGCCCTGGCAGCCAAAAGGGCCAACCGAGTCCTGGGGTGCATCAAGCACAGCATAGGCAGTCACTCAAGGGAGGTGATCGTCCCACTCTGCACTGCACTGGTGCAGCCCCACCTTGAGTACTGCGTCCAGTTTTGGGCACCTCAATATAAAGAGGACATCAAACTGCGGGAGTGTGTGGAGAGGAGGCAACCAAGATCATAGAATCATAGAATGGTTAGGGTTGGAGGGGACCTCAAAGATCATCTAGTTCCAATCCCCCTGCCATGGGCAGGGAAACCCTCCACTACACCAGGTTGCCCAAAGCCTAATCCAACCTGGCATGGAACGCTTCCAAGGATGGGGCATCTACAACTTCTCTGGGCAACCTGTTCCACTGCCTCACCACCCTCAGAGTGAAAAATTTCTTCCTTAGATCTAATCTAAATCTGCCCTCTTTCACTTTAAAGCCATTGCCCCTTGTCTTATCACTACATGCCCTTGTAAAAAGTCCCTCCCCAGCTTTTCTGTAGGTTCTGTAGGCCCCCTTTAAGTACTGGAAGGCTGCAGTAAGATCACCTCAGAGCCTTCTCTTCTCCAGGCTGAACAGCCCCAACTCTCTCAGCCTGTCTTCATAGCAGAGGTGTTCCAGCCCTCGGATCATCTTCGTGGCCCTTCTCTAGACCCGCTTCAGCAGCTCCGTGTCCTTCTTGTGTTGGGGACTCCAGAGCTGAATGCAGTATTCCAGGTGGGGCCTCACAAGAGCAGAGTAGAGGGGCAGAATCTCCTCCCTTGACCTGCTGGCCATGCTTCTTTTTATGCAGCCCAGGATACGGTTGGCTTTCTGGGCTGCCAGCGCACATTGCCGGTTCATGTTGAGCTTCTCATCCACCAGCACTCCCAAGTCCTTTTCCTCAGGGCTGCTCTCAATCCATTCTCTGCACAGCCTGTACTTGTGCTTGGGATTGCCCCAACCCACGTGCAGGACCTTGCACTTGGCCTTCACCGTCGCTTGCAGATGGTGAAAGGTCTCAAGGGCAAGACTTTCGAGGAGCAGCTGAGCTCACTTGGCTTGTTCAGCCTGGACAAGAGAAGGCTGAAGGTTGACCTCATCGCTGTCTGCAGCTTCCTCAAGACTGGAGTGGGGGACGGTGGAGAGGGAGCTGCTGATCTCCTCTCTCTGGTGACCAGCAACAGGCCACGGGGAAAAGGAATGAAGCTGCATCAGGGGAAGTTCAGATTGGACAGTAGGGGAAGGGTCATCAATATGAGGGCGGGAACTCCTGAACAGGCTTCCCAGGGAAGTGGTCACAGCAGCAAGCCTGTCAGAGATCAAGGAATGTCTGGACGATGCTCTTAGTCTTATGGTTTAGTTTTAGGTAGTCCTGCAAGGAGCAGAGAGTTGGACTCGATACTCATAGGTCCCTTCCAACTTGAGATATTCTGTTATTCTATGTGTTCTTTATACACGTTTTTCCATTTCTGCATTTTAGGTGCCTTATCAGGAGCCAGAGAAAGCTGGGAGTATGATTCAGGGGCAAGAGACCTTCAAAGTCCGGACCTCCAGAGTCATTTTACACTACAAAAGGTGTTGGAGTATGGTGGAAGCAATGTAACTCAACGGGCTGCTCTACAAAGACTTCTAGCTCAGGCCTCAAATTTTAACAACTCTGTTGGAGGAAGCTACTTAGAACTTGCCAACACTGTAAGTGCGTTTTGCTTCTGTATTTAAGTTTTGTAGAAATTTTTTTCTTTTTTTTTTTTCCTTAAGTCCAGTCTTAGAGCCTTCATGGAAACAGTGCTACACTGCTGTTGCCTTCTATTTACCAGAAAACCAGTGTGATTTTAGCCATAGTACATGTATAGTATTTCCAAAGCTTGTATAACTGTGTTTCATCAAAAAGAGAAGGTGTCTGTGAGGAGCCAAACTGAAGTTCTTAATTTGGGCAATTTAGTAGAAGAGTTGTGTATGAAAACTTCCTACCATTTAATTTTTTTAAGTATGATGTCAGACTGTTCAGAAATGTTGTGCAGAAAAATTCTTCCCGTGTTATTTCATTACTGCCCACTAAATTGTTTAATAATTGTTTTAAATCTTTGGTGTGCTGGCACTGTACTATTTTATTTCTACAGTCATGAACTATTCTCTATTGCAAAAAACTACATAACTGTTGAAGGAGTAGGGCATTAGTTTTTGCTTCCCCATCAGTGTATTGGGATCAAGTTTGTGTTTTGATTTTAAGCCAGATGTGTTACAAGAGACCCCCCATTTTGTAGCATGTTTCTGATGTGTGTTGCACAGGATTTAAGTGGAGGAGTAAAAGATGCTAGAATGAAAGCAGGAAGTTTCTCATTTTTAAAATGACTGTTTATTGGCATGCTTGACTGTGATGAAATAGACTCCTTGTTGATAGTACCATAGGATAATTCAAGCTGAAAGAGAACTTCAGGAGGTCATCTAGTCCAACAGCAT